AGGAGATGGCAGATCATACGACGCCCCTTGTGGGTTGCTGTAATAAGAACGTGATGTAGGCGGAGGCATATGCATTATGCCCGGGGAGCTTGAGGGAACATAGGAAGGCGAGGTGACCGGTGACATGGGTTGGTACGGACGTCCTCCATACGGATGATCGGCGCCCCTTGGCGGTGGAAGCGGTGATTGTTGGGAAAAGCCATACGATTGTGGAGTCGGCGGTGTCTGCCCGTAGTGTGAAGCTGCGCTCTGCCTTCTAGGTAGAACCGGAGAGCTCATTCCCGACATTGCGGTAGACTGGTATGCCGCAGGATTATATGGTTGATGGCCCAAGGCGGGACCGGCGTATGAAGCATTGCTGGAGCCAGTGTACGTCTGGGGGTTATAAGCGAGAACCGGTTGCGACTGCGTGTGTGGAAGGCCGTATTGCTGCGGGTTGTAGGCCGTCTGGGACGAGGGTGCTCCAGAGTATTGGTATTGATAAGACATAGTGGAGGTTTGCGAAGAGGCCCGACTCGGAGACATACGCGACATGGCGTCTGAGGAAGTCCGCGAATATCTCGAGTCTCTGTCGTCTTCAGTGGCTCTCTGCACATCATTGTAGCCACCCTGTCCCGCGCTGCCACCATAACCACCGCCTTGTGCTGCATACTGGCTGTTTTCTTCGGTCGCTCTCATATTCTGGGTCTGGACAGGGTTGAAGAATCCAGAATCATCCCCGGCATTGTAACTCGGCATCCTTCGAGGCAGATGTCTGTCCGGCGCGGGGGTATAATTGTCATAGTGGCCGGTGGATGGTTGAGTAGGGGCTTGGGGGTTTGTAGATTGGCCATAGTATGCCTGTTGACCGTTTGGATATTGCGACATGATTTCGGAGGGGTCCGACCAGATGTCGACTCGGCTCGGCTCTACTCGACGCGCCCAGAATTGCGCGAGAGATTGTTTAGTAGGACCGTGGGGTGAAGTCTTGGGCACTCAAGTGAATGGCAAAACGAGTGACTAGTCCAGAGCAAATCAGACTGATTTCAAGAATGAGGGGAACGACCACGCGGGCCAGTAACACGCTGCCGAAGAGCTGACTCTGGGCATCCCCAATGAAACCGTAGAGCGCGATATACCAGTCTTGGTAAAAGAGAAACCAAGTCCAGTAAAGATGCAAAACCAGGAGGTTGTTTTGAGGGGGGTAAGATTTGAGGTGTGTTGGAATCAGCTGCGCCCACGCTAAAGGCACTGTCTCCACCGCCAACGGGGTTCACCTGCCACGACCTGCACTATGTCCGCTGGTATTCCGAGGTTGTTGGAATGATATTAAATGGTGGATGTCCACGGTTGTCTGCGAATATTTCCAATATTACTTGAATGTGTAATGTGTTATCTATAAGTGAGACATATATAGATGTCTTCAGATTGGTATAGATTCTTCCCCGACAATGGCTCCCATACATTATGTATTATGTATTATGTACCTAGGTAAATGCCCTCTGTTTGCGATTGAGTCATAAGAAGGCTTAGCATCACAACTGCGTCTCATGAAACTGTCATAACTACCTAACAGGTAATAGGCCTTCAGTCTAAGACTGTGAATAACCAGCCACACTTGAGGCTGAGGCTGAGAGGCTGAGCCATATTGGCCCCACTATTATGTACGCATCCACAACTAACTAACTAGTACGGAGTACATATAAAATGACTGGAGTTGGGAAACAGTAGATTTTCGCCAAAATAACTCTAGAGATTTAGGGAAAACCTAGATTGGTTAGGGCAATAGCATGCCAATATTGTTATAGTATGCGCCCAAAATCTGAACAGAAACAGACAAGCAAGTAACAAGCAGTCATGAAACAAAAAGGCAAAGAAATCAAAGGATTAGAAATAAGAATAGCCGGCCGCATGAGGTCATTTATTTATTTGGTATTCTTTTTTTAAGTCTTAGATGTATATAAAATTAAAAGCATAAATCGTACAGACAACTTTTCTATATATAAACAAGGAAATGAGAAGTTTCGAGTATTCTCAATAAGAAAAAGGGTTAGACTCGAACCACTCCAGCGAGATTTGGCTATTGAATAATTGCCACATCAACGCATCATCAGGTGCATAGCTTCCATCACTGGTTGTTTGTAGTTGTTGAAGGTTTGTTTCAGCGACAGGATCCACATATGGAGAGCTAGACATCAAGAGATGTGAATGTTCATCACTAGCTGGATCGCCCACATGCCAGGTCCCAGCCATCGAAGGGTACAATGTAGGAACTTTGACCTGCGGGCCCATACGCTGCTTGGCTTGGATCAATGGTACGCAGAGATTCTGCAAGTAGTACAGAAGTTTCAGCAGTTTTGAGATGTATGGACTTGCGGCGAACTGAGATAGACTTTGTGTGATTTCTTGCATTAGATTGTAGTCATCCATGTCTAGTTCTCCAATGATGTTGCAAAAGAGAACGAAGAATGGACTGAATGGGTATAGAAGGACAGTCCTGAGGAAATATCAGTGGAAGAACTTATAACCCTGAAACTAGACCAACTAACCATGTCAGGAATGAGGGATAAGGATCCACGAAGCCTGGAACATCCGCGAGATTTTTCTGAAGATGATGCAGTGCTCTGAGAGATTTGCGAGAATATGATACACATTCCTTGTGTGTCAAAGGAGAAAATGCACATTTTAAGCGCGATCGAAGGATATCAACCAGAATGGCGTAATAGCAAAATTCGCCTGAGATCCAATCTGCAGAGATACAGTCAGGGGCTGTGACTCGACTCTAAAACAAGAAGTTAGCTTGAAGGAAGGCAGACATTTAGTCAAACTCACTGATTGTAATCTTGAATATATGACCTCCATTCGTTCCTGAAGTCTTGAATGATTGGCGATTATCTGGCGAGTGTTATCTGCATTTCCGCAATTCAACAGCTCTCCTTGGACCTGAGCTAGATCGAACAGAATTCGTATTAATGGGATATGTGGCAAATTTTGGTCGGCGCTAATCAGATTTGCAGGAGAGATGCAGGGCTCGGGCAGCGACAATGGTCGGTAAAGAAGGGTGCTCAGAGTTCGGTCAAGGTAAAAGCACCAGCATACAGCACTATAGATATCTTCATTGAGGTTTGACATCCCAGGCGGATTGCGAATTTCATGATAGCCCAGAGCAGTTATCAAACGAGCAGCATATGAGTTGAAAATCCAGGATTGACTCATGTTGCCAAGATACTGCATGAAAAATGCCTGTTCAATAGTTATCAATAAGTGACTTTTCGTATAAGGAAGCACGATAACATACGGCAGATATCAACGACTGAATGAGAGGAAGAGTTGGGGCATTCAAGAAATTGAGCCTCTTGAGAGCACGGAAGGCATATGTTTCATATAGTTTCTTGGACTTCAGAAATTGTGCGTTGATGCGGGGATCCATATATGCTCTCGGCTTTTGGAAAAGATGAAATATGGCTTTCACGTAAACACATATACAGTACTGGTAGAATTCCTGCCCATGCTCAAGGTCATTGTCACTGAGAATGGTTGAAGCCATCTTCTCCAATGTTTTATCCGAGATGTGGTCCGGCCATTGTACGGAACTAGAACGTCCGATGGTAGCTGTTGGCTCTGTATTATTATTAGTGTATGTATTTGAAATTCAGATGGTTTTTTATACCCGGAAGAAGCATGTAAAGCAGCTCTGGTGATGGAGCAATAAATGGACCATCATGAAAATCTTCATGCGACACTTCTAATGGCGAAAATTTGTCGGTAATTGAGCTTCTCCTCTGCCCCGTAACATCCACAAACTGCAGGGCAGATCTGAGAATCGCCTTTCGTTCACGGTCCATGCACTCATTTCCATCAAGCTCTCCTTGTATAACGATTCTTGCCTTCTCTGCAAGGTGTGTGGCTGAGCCAATGGCACATTCATTCTGGGTAGGTTGCGGAGTGCCTTCTATTGGCGAGGCATGCTCTAATCTCATTTTTTTCGACGGCATATTTCCATCGTAATGATCAGTAACATTTGATGGAATTCTATTTTCAATGCCCCTAAATGGTCAATCAACAGAAGCATTGAAGTAAAGAAGAATGGTAATCATACTCTGAAACTGTTCTTTCCAATGTTAACAATCTTTCCCCGAGAGCAGATATGCTATTTCATATAGTAAGCATAGATCGAAATAGCGTCATATGAAAACATACACCGATGGTGATTGCCGGCGAGGTCGTCGAGCTCTTGTACGACTGCACTCAACGCCTGCATCGGTACAATTTGCACAATGTAGTTGTTTATCACAGCGAACCTATCAAGAAAGCATCAGTCTCTAGGCAGTGAATACACTCGATGAACTTCTTCAACCTTTCTCGAGAAGCAAAGGTCACACTAATATCATCAGTATGCGAATGCTGGAAGCCATGTGATGGAACTCACAGCTCGCAGCGCGTCGTAATTCATTTGGTGAGAAAAGTTGCTGTGACTACACATTAATATTTATTTGTAAGAGCCATAATGACCTGTCGGAATTCGCAACGCCTGATTTGAGAAATAAAAAAGGTAGTGTAGTTCGTTCGGGGTTTGCGGAGGCTGCCGAGCCGCTTAGTTAAGGTTTATCCCGATTCGGTCGGAGTGCCGACCGAATCGGGAAGGTATGTGGACACTTCGGTACAATTAGTTCAACAGACCAAAGCAAAGGTGAAACTTGTGTATATTTGCACTACTAGAAATGGGTATCAATGAGAAAAGCGTCAAATATTGAAATTATTCAGGTGGGATCAATGAAACCGCGAAAAGGACAGAGATCCGATATATATATATATTAGGTGATCATTGCGGTTCGAGGCGTACTGCGTGATATTTGGCTTCTCTGCACTTTAGGTAGGTAATTCCCTATCATCTATCCATCGGAAGTTGATGTTGCAAGTTTAGAGCTTAGAGTCAAACCTGATAATCCCGAGCTATATATACTATAATTTATAAATTTTATGACATTCAGAGCCAACTGACCACGCTTCAGAAGCATTCATCAAGCTCCAACGTGTCCACCTGCCATACTTCGTTTCTGAGAGGAAGCAATAGCTCTATTCTTGGGTAGTGACGTTTTCCATGCCTTTATTCCCGAGTCAAAACCTTCGTCAATCTGTTCCAGTGTAATTCCAGCAGTCTCTGGCACGAGCAAGAAGGTTAAAATAGCGATGACGACGGTGACACCTGCATAAAAATAGCCCACGTTGGGACCCATGTCCCCATAACCCGCACCTAACATGTAAGGCGTCCAAAATGTTGCACCAAAGGCAAAGATACCATAGAACACTGTTGTGTTGGCTTGTCCGTAAGTGCGGAGTGAGACGCTGTGCATCTCCACAGAAGATAGGTTAGCACTCGCAGCAATAGTCCCACCAAAGACAAAAGCCCACAAACACAGAAGAACGACGATAACTATCTCTGCACTTGTATCCATTCCAAGAGCGGTGCTCACAGAGGAAAGAGTGAGCATGCAGACAGCCATGACAATATAGCCGGAAAGCATGGCAATTCTTCTTCCGCCATATTCCACAATGAACGGACCAAAAAATGATCCTCCTAGGATGCACAAGCCGATGATAACATTGATCAAATATGGGTCACTGATGCCAACTCCTTTGAGGAACAGTGCAGCGTATGGTTGTACAAATTGGATACCAGTAATGGCGATTCCAATCATGATCATAGCAGATATCAAGGTACGGCTGATATGCTTCCTGCGATAGATATCAAAGCATGAGACAGATTTGAGGCTTGCACGCTCGATTGCAAGGTTGGTTCTTATATCATCAATCTGCATGGTGATTTCCGGCGAATATGGACTTTGGCAGTATAGCACGCCGAATGAGCTGCGTGCCTCCTCCTCTCGACCGTGTATCATAAGCCAGCGCGGCGACTCGGGAAGCATCAAAATCCCAGCACCGAGAATAACCCCCAAGGGTATTTGGCATAAAATGGGTGTCTTCCACTGCCAGTCATTGGTTGCCTCTAGACGAGCAGAACCTGCACACACCGCGGAAGCAGCAAGATTTCCTCCGGCAAGTCCAACATTATACAACCCTAAGGACAGGCCGCGCTTGTTGGCGACAATGCACTCAGAACCATAAGTGACGCTGGATACAATCAACTGTCCAACTCCCACAGCACTGATCGATCTGCACACCATGTAGCGCAAGAAGCTACCGCTGGTGCCAAGCATTCCAGCAGCACCGATAATAGCCAATGTACATCCAGCTTGGATTGACCCCCTGCGCCCGAAGTATCGGCCGGTCATGCCCGCAATCGCACCTCCAATGGCAACGAACAAGAAGTTGAGGCTGATAAGAGATTGTTGTAGTGGCGTCAATGAGCAATGTCGAATTTCGGCATACGTATTCGGGTCTATAACTTGCACGCAGCTTCCAAAGGCGTGTTTGTAGGACGGCATGATCAGCACCGTACCGGCGTAGCCGTTGTCGAAGTTCGAGATCCATGCGGCAAACGAGACCCATAATGAAAGACGCAGCATCGATCCGGTCGTGCTTGGAGCATTTTTTGTGGTAATGTTTCGGGTAATGGAATCGGTGAGTGTGTCATTAGAGCTCAACCCAGGCTCTATTTTCGGAATTTCGTGTCGCAAATCCATGCCAAGTAGGTTTGAGTGTATAGAAGGGGGTTATTGCTTGCTCCTTCAGTTTGTGGCTATTCACGATGAATATATGGACCGACGGCGGACTCCGGAGTATATATGAAACCTTCGCTCCTATGCTACATTCCAGAGCCGAAACATACATATACAGCTTTTAGAAAGAATGTGAGACATGTTTTTTGATTGGGGGCTTGCTAGTTCACAGCCCGAAGGCCTGATAAAAAACGAAGAGATAACATAAACTACAGCAATCTAAGCCAGTCGGAGAATTTACAGACCGAAAACATTCCAAAGTTCAAGATCCTCGCGTTGGGAGGCTGATCAAGGATCATCGACTCTTCTTGAGCTTAATAATAATTAGATTTATCCTGTACCGAAACTAATGTTGCTCCTACATATTAAGCATCATGCAAGAGTTTTTATAAAGTCGGGTAATATTTTGAGAATTTGCCTTCCACCCAACCGAAGGCCTTATCAAAGCTTGTGCATGGGAAATTTGTCTTGTTCCTTTGAGTCGTTTTCACAGCTAGCATTCTAGCTATAACAAATAATGTGGAAATAGCTATAAAAGACTCCCAAAAAGACGTATAAGCGGCCGACTATTCTTGTTCGCAAGAATGAAGAACGGATCACGCCCCCGAAAATGCGAAATAACAAAGCTCTTTATGGCTCGGCCCGTGAGGGATACTATAGGGATGCATTACCGTGGCGAAACCTGCAATCAAGATAGTCTGGTATGCTGGCCCGGGTCCGCTTCTTTTTGATATTCATTACCCTTGTCTTTGTCGACGAGATATTACATATAGCAAGATTTTATACCAATTAGCTTTAAAGGGAATGTATCAAGTACATAGCTTTGCTTCTAGACCTTCGAAAATAGTACGTGAAAAAGCAAGCGCATCACACGCTATTTGTCCGGTAGATAGCGAGGCTTATTGGTGGCTGCCGTTATATTAGACTCGCCAAGTTTCCAATGCCCAGATTTGGCATGATCGGAGTAAGACACTTATATGCCCCCAAGGTACTTGAGACCTCATCATTGCCCCTCAAATGTCGTGATCACGTACCTCTAGATAGGGCATAGTTTCAGGTCACGTGCTGCGCTAAATAGCACGACGCTCCACCAAAGACCTTGAGAACCGCCGACATCTGAAGATGGAGCTCAAGACCGTTCTAATCCTCACTGCGATATACATTGGTAAGTACTGCCACGCACTATCTCCTATGATCCAAACCTTCGTCCACCAATAGCTTTCGACCACTTCCAACAGAAACAAACAACCAAACACTAACCCCTCACAAGCTGTCCGTCTCTTCTTTAAGTCACGCAAATCGAGCCCAGCCGCCATCATGTCTCACGGAAAGGTCACCGAGATCGACAAGTAAGTAACTCTTGATTCTGCTCGCAATTTATTCCATCCTAATCTCCGTCCAGCCAAGTCATCTTCAAAGCCCTCACTTCCTCCGGCCCCGTCGTCGTTGACTTCTTCGCAACCTGGTGTGGACCCTGCAAGGCCGTCGCTCCCGTCGTCGGCAAACTGAGCGAGCAGTACGAAAACGTTCGTTTTATCCAGGTGGATGTGGACAAGCTGCAAGGTGTTGCGCGGGAACTGAGCGTGAACGCTATGCCCACCTTTGTCATTTTCAAGGACGGCAAGGAGGTGAATCGCGTTGTTGGCGGTGACATGAAGAAACTTGAGGCACAGATTAAGGCGGTTTTGGCATAGACGCTCTGCGCTTTGTCCAGGTTTACTAGTAGCCATTGAAAACCTCGGAGTGGAGCACATCCATCCACTTATGAGGATTTGGAGGGATTCAATAAAGTGATTAATGAGTAGTGACTGAGAAATATATATTTCTAGGGTTCAGCGATGTATTTTTCGATACCATAACAATGCAAGTTTTCGATTTCTTCAAAACTGATATATGATACTATAAATGCTTATCAATTGCTATCGGACAGTAATGAAAGCGTTGGTTGTTAAAATACCATGTTATAATTTATCGATTTTACTATATGTTCTGCGCTGCGCAGCTCGCTTGGGAAGGATCCTTTTCAAGAAGAATTATAAGAAAGAAAAATTCCATTTTGAGTAGAGTAGAACTCATTATCCAGGTTCGAAAATAAGGAAAAGCAAGTCAAGACAAAGCAAAGGGGGGGGGGGGAGGGAATGGCAAATCACAATCCAAGCCTGTTCAACGAGATGGTCAACGCTTAGGACTACCGAACGGCTTTCTGTTGGGGCTTCGCGGTGGCTGGTTTTCTCTTCCAGATGGAGCGCCAGAGTGCATTGGTAGTGTGCTTGTTAGTGTGCTTGTTTGAGTCGGTTGTTGGGACAGGAGATTATGAGACGTAACGTGTCCAATAAATGTGTAGGATGGGTCATCAGCCGGTATCATAGTCCAGATCTCGATAGGAACCGTGAAAAGAAGGAGACTAGAGCCTCGAAATGCTCCTTCGACAGTGACATTAGTGGACAAAACGTTAGCAGGAATATTGCGAGTAAGCCATTCTTTCCATTGGGTGAAATCTAGGGGAATCTCTTCCCGGACTTTGATGCTAAGTAGCACCCTGTAAGACTCTCGGTCGACGCTTCTTGTGACCGGCCTTGAGCGATTACAACCGATAGTCACGCTTGGCGAATTCGGTTTAGGGATATGGATTGGTGCAGCCCCAATCTGATTCTGCTGTGCGTAGCGGAAAATTCGGGCATAGATACTAGCCAGCGTCTCAGCCTGACCGTTTAACTGACGGAGCTCGTCGATGAGAATTCGGGTGAAGGAGAAATGGACATTCAACACTGCTGTCTGATCCCAGGTAGAGGCTGCCATAAACTCTGCGCCGTGGTACGCGCTCAAGGCCCCTGATCCTCCGGAGCAACAATCAAAAAGATAACAAACTTCGCCCGTGTATTGTTCGAGGTAGCCACGAATTTCCCACCAGTTGAGGTTAGGACCTTGCAGGTTACCGGTATACTGATCGCATTTGCCGCTATTATTTGTTAGCTGGGATACATTAGTAGAATTAAAGATAGGGTATAACTCACGCCAAGTCCCAGCGACTGGCCACTGTTCCAGCAAACCCCGCATGCCCTGAGTAAACAAAAATCCGGAGCGTATCTTCTCCAGAACTTCGTCGTGACCAGGAAACAAGACATTCTAGAAGTTTGAACTGGGACTCGATAAGCGGAATCGTGAAACTCTCGGTCTCAAATCCATAAACAGATTTGAAGACGTCTAGGAGTTCTCTCTCGAGAGGCTCGACCCCTATATCATCATTCTCCCAGTGAAAGGCGATTACAGCTGTCTTTCGATAAGGTTTGAATTTTGTCGCATGGTTTATGGCCGTTTCCAAGTCGGTGGAAAATTGATCAAGGCGCTTCCTGGCCTTGTGCGCTTGAAACGAGTCGGGTGTTTTTGAGGTCGTCATGGTGAAACGTCAAGTGTGAAGGGTCGATGGTCTTGCTAAGGAGGTGTAGTAAGGTAAAGAAGGCGGTAAAAGCCGCCAGGTGGCAAAATGACGGTTCAATAAGGGCCCGCTCACCGTGTCAACTAATACCCGGGGAATTGTATTTACGTCAAAACTAGTAGTTAAACTCCCTTCCTACTTCTCAAGCCGATCAACCCGCTCCTTATGCTTCTTGTGCCTAGAAACGTCGAAATACTTCAGGTAATGGCAGGTGCCCCGGTTAGTAGGGCATTCTAATACGTGGTTAGCGAAGCACTTAACAAGCCCTTTGGATTCGCTTAGAAAGCACCTACTCGGAGGACCCAGATAAGAAGAAAGATGACTTTATTGTCACGTGCCACCTTCCGCTGCGCTAGAGCAAAAGACCAGAATTCTAGGACAAAGCTTGGGAACCACACTCACTGTTGTACATATAGTATGGGCTGACTCCTCACGTTTATAATCTGTATAACCGCCAAGAAATACGAATTACCAACCGAGCGCTCATCCCAATTAGGTGTATTTTGACTTGTTTGCAGTATGGTAAAGCCAGGGGCTGTGGGGCATTCTCCGACGACGCGAAAATCCCGCGACAATATATAGTTATACAAATCACAGTCTAGCTTCATAACCTGGTTTCATTTTCTCCCAGACCATTTTTTCTATATATATTCAAAATGTCATGCAGCGATTGCTCCACAGAAAAACCCTCCGAAAATTCCACGTGCAAGTCTAGCCCAGACCATGACGGCTCCCTTCTGCGAAGACCTTTTCAGTTAATCGTTAAATATCTACCGGAAGGCTCCGCATTGCTTTCATCTTCGTGTTGTTGGCTACCAGTATGTCATTTCCCATGTCACTATGGTATTGAATGCATATACTAAGTTTCTAGGCTGTCCTCGATTTTCTCTTTGCGGGTTCGGTGGCCACTGCTGGCGTCGAGAAACTGCGAAATGCTTTTCTGGCGGTTTCTATTCTGACCCTTATCTGGGGTGTGTGGCGCGAGGGACTCAGTCGTAGAATGGTATGGCGGATTGCGATCTGTGTCGGTTTGTCGGCTTGGGAGCAAATGAATCAGTGGGCAAAGGTCGATGGCAAGGGGCATCACAGCTGCCATTAATGGGCGATGGTCTCGGGATCGGGATGAAGAATGCTATTTTTTTCCCTCCCCTTTACTACTATGATGGAATCAATACCAATAGGGCGCGGATTTTGTTCAGCAGATTATGGTGTACAACATTGTATGTAAAGGCCATTGAATGATCTACTTCGCGAGAATCACTCTGTGTAGAAGGTCGCTTCGATCATCAAGAGTGGATCCTCTTTCCTCTTTAATGCTCTACCTACAAGATCGATCTTCATAGGGTATACCTAGAGTCTAACTGGAAGATTGAACCTCTTCATACACACGCACATTCAAACATCTACATTTTCATACTGATATCAGGCGGCCAAGTTTTCATAAGCAGACTGCTGCAGATGACGCTGATAATTCCCAGGGCCATGGACAAGGCTTCAAGGGAATTGTTTTCTATCTCTCAAATCAATCACGCAATGCGATGCGCATGAGTATGTACTGTACATATGGTCTCTGGTGGCGATGCAGATTGCCAAGAACATGGTGGATGGCCGGAGTTAAGGTCGATCTCGGGGACCCGCAGTTTTGGATGGCGAATTTATTGATCGGCGCCGGAGTTGTCGCCCGTTGCCATACCATGATCTACGCTTGAGCAAGTATGAGAAGGTGTGCTCTGTTGTACTCTGTACAGGGTACGACATAGGTTCAAAACAAATAAAGTTTTAGTCACTAGCGCTAGTCTCCACGGATCCATGGATCACGGGAGAAATAGATTGATAATTAGTAATCAGTATCCACCTATCACGTGATTGCTTTCGGCCTTTCTTTTAGTTTTAGGCTATGCGCTTAGTGAACAGGACTTCAAGCGGCAACAAATTAGGAAAATCTCGAACCGTTGGAAATCCAGTTTATGAGATGTCTGCGGGTAATTTTGCGGAAACATCAAGAACATTGATTGGTCGCGAAACTCCGAATATGCAAGGCGGCGCATCTCCTGCACGTGGATGCTACCCAATAAAGACATGGATTGTGTTTCGCCTATAAATGAGCAAAGTGGGTTATCTAAGGTTAAACGTGTCAGATTCTTGAAATGTTGGCCTTCTATGGAGTAGACAGGAGAAACTAACGGTCACCCGGAGATATCCCGGAGCTAACTAGATGGGTGCTGGCGCGACGCGTAGGAATAAATTTGCGACTGTCTTCTTGTTTTGCAAAGAGGCAAGATAACTAACTAGCAGCTACGGAGTATTCGAGGCTTTAGTTATTAAGTCCAAGTAAATGGAAGTCTACACTTTGATGGTCCTGCCAAGCATAAGCATGTATACGGAGTACAATATAGGGAGATATGCGAGTTTGTATCCGCTATGAACGGATCATACGCAACACGATATGGAACATAGATGTACTATGCAGGGTCTATCCATGTTCAATGATATGTACTCCGTACTTTGTACGTTGTCTTTGCCTATACCCCGTAAAGTGGAGGGCACTAATTGGTACTTCTCCACAACAGTAGGTCGATAAACGATCCGTGCTCTTCGCTGTTTGCTCTAGAACGAGATTTCCTGCACGATATGATTGAATTTGTAATCATCTGCAGAGTGATCACGACTCATCACGAGTCATATCGACTGGGATTGCACGCTTTTCCCCGTTTAGGAGCCCGTCTGCTTGGCATCTTCAAATCTGGTCACTCCACCGCGGAATATGCCGTCCGTGGAGGCTTGCCCCCACATTTGTTTGGGCTTTGGGGGGCTTTGCTTGGACGCAAATTTCATCCGACGCCTAAATCTCCAACACCGCTAGTTTCCTTAACCCCGAAAAAAAAATCAGCTCTAGCGCGTGGTGGAGCCTACGGAGACGTCGAGATACTACCCAACTTGAGCCAAGAATCATTCGGGGTTAGCTTGTTCGCTGTCTTCTAGCTTCCTTTTTTTTCTATTAATGCTTTGTTTCAGGGGCTTTCCCAAACCTGAATAGTCTTTTACTTTTCTTCTCTGGAAAGTACTTTAATATTCCACCCACAGGGGAGTACCCGTGGACGTGCTTGCCGTAGAGTTTATACGGGTTATCCTTCCCTTTTGAGATTTTCAATGAGAACCACTGAATCGGACCACAAGCTGGCCATGGCGGAAACCAGCAGCAAATCAGACGTGGATACCCTGGATTCAAACAGCTATGGACGCCAGCTGGAAGAAATTCGCATCGCCAACACCCCGGCCGATATCCCGATCCAGACGGGTGTCGATGTTATGACCGCCGAGAAGGACTTTTCTGATTTGAGCAGACAATTCTCCAGCATATCGCACCGAGCCCACAGATTATCTAGACAAGAATCCCGAGCATCCAAGACGGGAGTCACCACTGAAGATATCGAGAAAGATGAGGGTTCAACTACGTCGGATGATTCATGGGACCTGGAGACCACTCTCCGTGGCGATCGTGTCGCTTCCGAGGAGGCTGGCATCAAAGACAAGCATATCGGTCCGAAGACACTCAACATAGGGAGGATAAACAAGTACTGACTGTCTTCCTAGGTGTAATCTGGAATAACCTGTCAGTTCGTGGAATGGGCGGCGTCAAGACATACATCAAAACATTCCCAGATGCAATCATCGATTTTCTCAATGTACCCGGAACACTAATTGACCTCTTCGGTTGGAGAAAGAAAGGCCAGGAGTACAACATATTGGAAGGTTTCCGGGGTCTCACACGGCCTGGTGAGATGGTCTTGGTCCTTGGGCGTCCCGGATCAGGCTGTACGACTTTCCTCAAAGTGATCGCGAACCAGCGGTTTGGATACACCGGGGTAGATGGGGAGGTGCTCTATGGTCCTTTCGACGCGGATTCGTTCTCCAAAAGATTCCGCGGAGAAGCCGTATACAATCAAGAGGATGATGTTCATCAACCCACCTTGACTGTGAAACAAACCCTTGGATTCGCCCTCGACACGAAGACCCCTGGAAAGCGCCCATTTGGTGTGTCGAAAGCTGAGTTCAAAGAGAAAGTGACCAATCTGCTTCTGAAAATGTTCAATATTGAGCACACTGCCAACACCGTGATTGGCAACCAGTTTATCCGTGGTGTATCTGGAGGTAAGCAATCCATTTTAGGTGTGCAGTCTCATCGCAATTGACGCTAATTAGAATAGGTGAGCGGCGTCGCGTGTCGATTGCAGAAATGATGATCACCTCTGCGACTGTATTGGCTTGGGATAACAGCACCCGTGGTCTGGATGCCTCGACTGCCCTCGATTTCGCCAAGTCCCTACGAATTTTGACCAACATATACAAAGCAACAACCTTCGTGTCACTCTACCAAGCGTCCGAGAACATCTATAAACAGTTTGACAAGGTCCTGGTGATTGACAATGGCCGTCAAGTATTCTTCGGTCCTGCATCCGAAGCACGATCATATTTCGAAGGCCTCGGCTTCCGCGAAAAGCCTCGTCAAACCACGCCCGACTACTTGACAGGATGCACCGATCCTTTCGAGAGGGAGTTCAAAGATGGAAGAAGTGCCGACGATGTGCCATCTACACCACAAGCGCTGGTCGAAGCCTTTGACAAATCCGTCTTCAGTGAAAGACTAGACCAAGAAATGGAATCCTACCGCGCCCAGATTCAGAAGGAAAAGAAAATCTACGATGATTTCGAGATTGCTAATAAAGAGGCAAAGCGCAAGTTTACCTCTGAATCATCTGTATACTCGATTCCTTTCCACCTACAAACCTGGGCTTTGATGCAACGGCAGTTCCTCCTTAAATGGCAAGACAAGTTTGCATTGACCGTCTCCTGGGTTACCTCTGTTGGCATTGCCATCATATTGGGTACTGTATGGCTCAATCAACCCAAGACCAGTGCCGGTGCTTTTACTCGAGGAGGTCTTCTATTCATCAGTCTGCTGTTCAATGGCTTCCAGGCGTTCTCGGAACTTGCAGCCACAATGATGGGCCGCTCAATTGTCAACAAGCACCGTTCATTCACATTCTACCGACCAAGCGCACTTTTTATTGCACAGATTATCGTTGACACTGCATTTGCCATCGCGAGGATCCTCGTATTCAGTATCATCGTTTACTTCATGTGCGGACTGGTTCTTGATGCTGGGGCGTTCTTTATATTTGTTTTGATTATCCTTGAGGGCTATGTGACTATGACAGTCTTCTTCCGAACCGTGGGATGTCTATGTCCTGACTTCGATTATGCCATCAAGTTTGCATCCGTCATTATTACATTCTTCGTTTTGACGTCCGGATATCTTATTCAGTGGTCTGGCGCTCAGGTGTGGCTGCGATGGATTTACTTCATCAACCCCTTTGGTCTCGGATTCGCTGCATTGATGGTCAACGAATTTAGGCACCTTACTCTGACATGTACCAAAGACTCACTCGTGCCAGCTGGAGCTGGTTATACCGACATTGCACACCAGGCCTGTACTCTAGTGGGAGGCGACCCTGGGTCAGCAATCATCTCGGGCTCCAACTACATCGCGCAAAGCTTCAGTTATCTGAATGGTGATCTTTGGCGAAACTTTGGCATCATGATTGCTCTGATTGTTGGTTTCCTCATTTCAAACTTATATTTTGGAGAAACACTGCAATTCGGTGCAGGCGGCAAGACCATCACTTTCTACCAGAAAGAGAACGCCGAGCGCAAAGAGCTAAATGAGGCTTTGATGCAGAGGAAAGCAAGCAGACAAGCAAAGACTCTTCAGTCTGATGCAGGATCAAACCTCAATATTACCTCCAAGTCCGTGTTCACCTGGGAAGACCTCTCTTACGAAGTTCCTGTGCCCTCAGGTACCCGACGTCTTCTGAACTCTGTCTACGGCTATGTCCAGCCTGGAAAGTTGACGGCACTCATGGGAGCATCCGGTGCAGGAAAGACAACGCTGTTGGATGTTTTGGCTGCAAGAAAGAACATCGGTGTGGTAACTGGTGATATTTTCGTCGATGGCAAACCTCCAGGCACCTCGTTCCAAAGAGGTACATCTTACGCAGAGCAACTTGACATTCACGAAGACATGCAGACGGTACGAGA